AGAATTCGCTTGGAAACCCTATTCAGCTACACAAGCAAGTACTAATAAAAAATCTTTCAAAGTGTCTAAAAAAAATTTCAACTACACTGCCGCCGCGCTTAAGGGATTGTATGCGCGAAAGTAAAGGTTAATCTCATCCGCAAACTCTGCCTGCGGCCGTTCGCTGAATAAAAGATTCTGCCGCAGTTGTTCTGCTAGTGAACACGAGATATTATTCTCGGTTGGTGGTTGTTCACGCGCAGATTATGAAAATTAATGATCATATAAGTGTGATTAAACATGATTAATACTGTGTGTAAATGCAGCATCATTTTAATGCGTTTCTGTACATTATACAAATGCAAAATGCATTTTGGCAAGAGGTTGCTTGCGTCTGTAGGTGTTATTAGTAACTTTCAAAGAACCGAAGATGCTAAAAGCAGAAATTTTTGAAGCATATTCCTACATTTGCGCGATCGTCGCGTTTCATAATTATTATTCACGTCCGCCTGCGTTTCACATATGAGCGCCTAAAAGAAAAGTACAAATTTTCGGCAAGGAAGGGATTTTGGAAGCCAGGCAAGATAGAAAACTGAAATTTGACAGAGATGTTCTATGTCCTGGTGTGAGTTAATGTTTTCAAATTTAGTTATTATGCATGCCTGCGCTACACCTACCTTCTCTAGTTCCTGAGTTGAAAGTCCGAATTAAAACCCATTCAGAACAAACAAGCACACATACGCAGTGACAGAATCTCGACAATGTGTGCTTTGTATAGCTGTTGCAGCACAAAACCCGCCAAAAGTACAATTATTTGGAAAGCACATATAAGCCGCATTCTATTTTGAAATTTGTGCAAAAAAGCTGCCGATTGAAGCAAATTTCATAGCATCGTCGATGTCTTCAGTGTATCGAGCTGGAAGGACGTTCGATGCTTTGAGAACGGCGGCACTGTTGTGAATATGTATTGCTTCTACTGACTTTTACACATTTCTACTATCACGAATTTTTAAATGCGAGTTACGATTTCATCCGTGACAACATCAGCTTATTAATGACATTTTCAAACTGAGGTAGCACTCCGACAAACTTTTAAGCCATCTAAAAAAAAAGTATATTGTGTCCACCAGCGGTACCTGGATGAGCATAACGATGGTGAGCTGTTTC